GAAGGGCGGAGGAAGCCTCACCAGCGGGGTCGCCCCTCCCAGGGACCCCCTCCACCAGCATCGCCTGCCTCGGGGCGCAGCATCGCTGCTCTGCAGCTGAATTAAAGTTTCGCAAAGTTTTGCTACCTCTTCACTCAAGGCTGCAAGTGCACAAAGAATTATGGAAGGGACGGTTGATAGATGAAAAAAACACATTCAAAACTACTTACTGACTAATGATGCAGAAAATGTTATGAATAAGTATCCCTTTCTTGATTTATTACTTTAATTATCTGACATTCTATAGACCCCCATTAGTGGGGGTTTTTTGGTTTAGATTTCAATTTTCTGTCTCATGGTGAAAGCTATTTATCATAATAATCAGTAAAATTCAAAACCTTTTAGCAGTATTTATAAAATTCATTTACTATGTTCAGCCCTTGGAGAATGACAAAGAAGGCGCATTAGCACGTGTGCTGAAGTGTTTTATGCAGAATTATCTGTCCATAAGAATGATTAAAAGTTCTTTAGAATATTTGTAATCCATTATGCTACTTTTTTTTATGCTAAAAAAAAAAGTTTTCCTTACCTATGCTGTGACTGGAGGCTGGGACCTGCTGATTGGGTGGCTGCTGCACCTTCGTCCTTATGATCCTGTGTGTAGTTGAGAAGAAACATCTACTTAGCATTAAGCACACAATTGCAGGGCGCATCAGACACTATTTTTTTCAGTTCAGGAGACCTACATCAACACAAAAACGCCTTTCGGTGTATTATGCCCTCGCCATCCACTGACAAAGCAAAGTTTGCAGGGTGGACCCAGGACCCTGTTTTTGCCTCCAGCCCCTGCCGTTAGGGACATCTGGATGACTGCGTGCTCCCCGGGATGCTGCAGAGTTTGGTGCTTCGGTGCCTTTGAGGACCTAGTCCTCACCGCCCGGGAGAGAGACATCCATCGCTATTTGGGCACCTGTTGGGCCCAGCACCCTCTCCTCAGGGACCTGGACACTTCTGGGTCGAGACATCCCAGCAGGCTGTCACCTGCACCCTTGGGTGCTGGGACACATTTGCAAGGCTGGCCCTAGACCACCTCGGGTACAGTACTCACACAGCTAGAGAACTCGGAAAAGCACCTGCTTAGCCAAATTAATATTAAAACAAAAATGTGCTGGATTAAAAGCTAATCTTAAAAGCTGAATAACTACATTGTCGTCGCTGGGGAGAGCCTCTGCACTGATTTATAATGATAGCAATCAGGAAAAAACCTCAGTTGCAGATAAAGTAAAAGGCATGTGTTGTCTTGCAGCACAGAAGGCATCTGCAAAGGAGAGCTGGGGAGATGTTATACCAAGTGCTCCCCTGCCAACGCACTGTGAAAAAAGAAAAGACGGGGTCTGAAACATCTCCGGAGATAACACAGTTCCGCCACCGACTGCAGCAGAATCGGAAAGGGCTTGAAGGAGCCAGGCTGCTCACTCACCACACGCCTCCCCACCTGACACGCTGTTTATGCAGCAGTAATGCTGCAGTAAGCGCTTCTCCTCTCTTTACCTAACAAACTCTTCTCCCAGTTCTGCCTGCCGTGAATTTGGAAGTGGGGAGAGAAGGCGATGGGCGAGACAGAGCTGGCGTGGGGATGCATTCATGGGAACAAAGAGCAGCTGCTTGCTTGAAAGTCACCCCATGAGCTGGTAGAGGAACCACCACCGGTGACGCCTGGCCCCGTCCCAGAAGAGGACACACTGCCATCCCCTTCCCTGCCCATCCCTCTGCGGAGTCTGGGCTTGCTCTGTTAGGAAAACATCTCGCGGATGCTAGCCCCAGAGCGAAGCTGCTGGGTGTTAGACATCTTCTGTGGCTGGGTCTCCGGCACCAAATTGCCCCACCAGGGGATGGAGCAGACGGCCCACAGGGGCATCGGAGGGACCTGCGCACGCAGCTTCGGAGGGGGACTGTGCAGCCGAAGACCTGGGACCCTGCGCGATCAAGAGTGGAAACACCCCCCTGCACAAGGCCTCCTTGCTGTCGTGGCGAGGGAAGGGTGTCCGGGTCCTTCTGACACATAAACGTCTTCATCTCCGGAGGGACGGAGGACCGGAGCACGTCGAAGCAGCTGGGCAGCTCTCGGCTTATTTGAGCAAAACTAATCGCAATGATTAATTAAGCCTTAATCACACAGAGTTGCTCCTGCTGTGGAAGAGTGGCCTATTATTAATATTAATTAATGTTATTAATTAATAATAATAGTTATTATTCACTCATATACAGGGGCAGCAGCTCAGATTCATCTGCTAAAAGGCACCCTCGGCAGCGGGGATGTGCTGAGCGCGGTCCATGCCAGCGTTCTCCACCAGCAGCGACAGCACAGCCCCCAGCATCCCCTCTCTCCAGCGGGCAGGCAGGGCCGGGGGGAGCAGCGTGGCGGCTCCGTCCCCCCCTGCGCAGGAACGCCAACTGCCCGGCTTCACCACCCCTGCAGCAGGACGGGAACCACACTGCGCAATTTCCGATGAGTTCAGGACCGGGGCGACAGGGCGACCCGTGATCCGCACCTCAGAGGTGAACAAGGGCATCACGCCTTCAGAGCAGGGGTCTGCATCCTTGGCGTGCAACATCCCTACCAGCAAAGCCTTGACGTATACAGTTAATTTTAAACATGAGGATAAATCCCACAGACTACAGCGTGGAACTGGGAGGATTTAGCATTAAAGTCAAGTGCCTTGATGTGAGCTGCAGGTTTCTTATCGTGATAGTTTGGTCTGGGTTTTCAGGATGTGCTCCTAGGCTGGCAAGAACAATTCTCCGGGTAAACAGACTGACTCAAAAAAGATCGCGTGTGTTTTTAAAGAGGGATTGCACACCTTCAAGAAAAGGAAAAGACCTTAGCCACAGCTGCAAGCAGATGAGAAAGAATGAGATTTCCAGCCAAAAAACTTGGTGGCAGGCCACAAAACGGGTTTCTGATGAAACGGCAGCCAGTGTGTGGACACTATCAGTGTGGAAACACACAAGGACGCAGCAAGAGGTGGAATATGGAAACTGGCTCAAAACATGACTGGAAGCTACTTATTCTCTCTTCTTCCCAGAGCTATCACCGCCTTTTTGTTAGTTTTTTGGAGGATGCTTGAAGCCCTACTACACAAACACCGGGCTGCTGAGAGCAGCAACGCTTCTCACACGCCAGGGCTCGAGCTGACTTTTACGGAAGCAGAGTTTGCCCTTAGCAATTTGAGGTCGGTCAGAGTGATATTTTCCCTCAGTTTTCCTGGTGTTTACATTATTTCTCAAATCCTTTTTAAAACTGAAAATGCCATGTCTGTGGGGTTACTGAAGGCTGCTCCGGAGCACCAGCGAGCCAGGAGCTCCCAGGCACCAGCAAAGGCTGCGCGTGAACTGACCCATTTCTGCTCTTAAACACGTGAACGCATGACTCAACGCTCCGCTCGGCAAGGCAGAGACACCACTCTCCGCTAATGCCGGGGAAGCCACTCCGGCTACTCAAGCGGCAACTCCATGAATGCAAATCAGGTTGGGATAGCCAATAAAAGAATATTGCATCAATTTATTTCACATCCATGGACACAGATGGGACTTTATAGCTAGCTGCATTCAAAGAATTTGCATGCAATCGCACAAGTGAAAACCATCTCACTAGCGTGGTGAGGTCGAAGCCCAGCACGGAGCACAGCCCTGAACGAAAATGAAAGGACCCTGCTTGCCAGGGGTGTGGGTCTGCATGAGGCTGCCCAAGTGCTCTGCCTTCCAAGTATTAATCCTTTATTATCGGTCTGCCAGGCTGTAACAGAGTATTTCACTGGGTTTTTTTCCACACCAGCTTTAGACATCCTTCGACTCAGAAGGAAGCGTCAAGTACAGAAGGTGTAACTGAGGTGGCAGTAGGTTACCATAGCTCCAGGCCCCTCTACAAGCCCAGTCCTGCCCGGCAAGGTCACGGCAAAACTCCCAAACGTGGGACTGAGGCTCCAAACGAGATTCTCCTGCACTTTTACTAAAGCAATTCAAGGCCGCGTAGGCGCGTCCACGTAACCAGCAGGCAGCTGAGGCACTCGACAGCTACCAGCCAAACTCCCCCAGTGATATTCACGCTGACGGCGGCAGGCAGAGGCCAGCACGGTTCTGGGACAACTTCAGCAAGACCTGAGCAGGCATCAGGAGGACCAAAGTGGTACCTTAGACCCGTGCTTTGGGTCCCCTCCTCCAGGTACCCGGGCCCCCCTTTTCCCAGACGGCCACTGCCCCACGCGGCGGCCGTCTGAGCTTTCCTCCCCGGCGAAGCGCGTCCCGCTGAACCCCCACCCTTTTGAGCAGAACTGAGGCCTCATCCGCAGCAAACACGCAGGACCGTCACCAGCGAGGGATGCAACTCAGCAACTCACAGG